ATACCTCCTGAAGCGAGTAGGACCCACCATATTCCCCACTACTGTTGATGGGATTTCTTTTATGATGCTTTATGTAGGTAGGACTGGCTCTACGATTAAGTGATTACACTACTTGTAGGTCAGTGTTGCTCAGGTTTTTAGATAGGACATTAGGTCTGCATGGAATCTAATTTTTAGGCTTGTCGTGCTGGAAGGGTTGGTATTTAAAGGGATCCAACTATAGTATTAGCAATATTTCTTGATAACCTTAAAAGTTTTATCGATATAGTTACGTACTGATGGGGACTATTCAGTCTCAATCAAGGTATAGGTCTTGTTTCAATTGTTTGTGAGGATGTCTTTTGTTAATGTTTGAGATTCGTCCTTTCGTTAGGACTCTGGTACTTCTCCCCTTTTTGGTAAGGTTATGGGTTCCCTAAGGGTGTGTTTTGTAGCAAGTTCATTGGATATTGTTGTGAGGGGTGTATGTAGGCTGAGCAAGATTGAAATGGAGCACTTGGTTCAAATTATATGTATGGAGATTTTTTGGGTTATAGACTTTGAATTGGATCAAGAGTATGACTACGTATCCCATTCTCGGGTTGTGTGTGACCATGTTTTCATCGGATTTTGCGTTGGTATCATCTGCTACTGTAAATGGAATTTTGCATGGTGAAAGACTATGGCATTGTTGCACTCGGTTGGCGTTGAAAGGGATGTTGATTGGATTCTTGCAAGATGGTAGATTGAGGTTAAGTAGCTTTAGGTCCTATGGTGCTGGCCGTGAGTTTCCAGGCGAGTGATGGAAGGCCGACATGATCAGCATAATTACAGGAGCATTCCAGGCATAAGTTGTAGGCCTTCTAATCATGATTATCATCTCTTCTACATGTGGTACCTTCGGTGTTGGTTCATTGTTGGAAGTTAGAGAGACACACGAACCAGTTGTTGGGAGTATCATTCGTGCATCTGAAGGTCTCTTGTGGAGTGTTTGCATTATATATCTTGTTTGTTTACGAGCTGTTATTAGGGGTTTAGTTACCAAGGTTGGGTATTAGTTTTGGAGTATCGAGTCATGAAGTTCACTGGGAATGCCTCGAGTGATTTTCCAAGTTGGGGTACACCTAGCCGATAAGGGCGGATGCAATGTGGAAACTCTTGGATTGATCATCATCGCTCGTAGGTGCAGTGGTTGGTAATGGCATGTTAGGGAGTCAAGGGTATATTTAAGGCTTGGGTACACCTTATGGATTCAGAATTAGTTGAAATTCATGATATTGTCTTGAGTACTTTATTTTGTGTTTTTGGTGGTGTTCTTAGTCAAGGACACGGGTGGGTTCAATGAATGGATGAAAATTAGTGCTAGAATATGGGTTTTGAAGTTTAGATCTGAAGGGTTCCGGTCTCAGGAAGCATATCACGAGAGTCGATTCGGTGATTATAGTTTCGAGAGTCCCCGAATCCGTGGCTCTTGCTAGAAGTTAGGTGTTATAGCTAGGAAGTTATGGAATATGTTGGCATTGTACGTGTTTGTATACAACAATTATCAGGATGAGGCTCATGTTGGGAATCGACTTGTTTTCGGATAACGGGTTCAACATCAGTGAATGGTCGGGAGTCATGTTTCCCAGTTGTATCAGTAAGGTAGTTCAGGGTCAGAAGGGGCACGTATGGTTTGGATTGTAAGGAGAAGTCAAAGTAATTGCAGTTCGACATAGTTTTGCTCGCTTGAGAGCCTGTCGAGGTAATGGATTTTGTGGATTTTGGGAGAATTGTGATAGTTTTCTTTAGTGGTAAAAATTATTGGGTTAAGGATTCGTTATTGGTTGGGGTGCAAGAGTTTTGTTAAGATTAGGTTAAGGATAGTTTGGGAAGGCAGTCTCCTGATGAGCCGACTTTTGGTTTGGATCAGGCTCCACGCATGACCGTCTGAGTGGGCCGAGTTGGAGATATTGGAACGCTACCCTGAGTTAGTTGCAACAACGGAATTCGAGGACAAAGTCTTCTTTAAGTGGGGGAGAATTGTAACATCTCAAATTTTCAATCATTTACCTTTAAACCCCTTAGTATGAGACTTGATTGCATTTTTTCCTTAGTGGCATTTTGGTGATTTTGGCCAAAGACCCAATACGCTAGCCGTACGTTGTGTACATTGGGCGTACTACGGCGGACCTTAGTATATTGGGCGTACACCACATACACATGGCGTACATGAAGGATTCCTAAAACCTAATTATTAGGGTTTGGTCCATATATAAACATCATTAACTCGTTATTTCTCATTCTATCTTCAGCCTCCACTTGGCATTTCGTCTATCTAGAACCCTAACCTGCCTTGAAAGTGTTGTTGAGCTTTTGAGGGTACTTTTGGTGCTTAAGAAGGAAGGAGAAGAAGAGAAGACTACCTTGGGAGAGCAAGACATCTTAGATCCATAATATCCTCACCATTTGGCATCATTTTAAGGTAAAAAACTTTGAACTTGATGATGATTTGTTTAAGATCTTGTTAGCCTTGAAGTTGTGAACATTTTGGTCCCATTAGCTTGGTATTATGAGTATGGGTTACTATAAGTCATTTGATTCGTCCTTTTAGACATTTTAGAGTATTGTGATGCATAAAAATATGATCTTCAGTGTTATATGTAACCTATACATGTGTTAGATGGTCTTATTAGGTTAACAACTTTGGATTTTGGTCATTTAGCACTTTATAGCCATGCAATGTCATAAAGTTAGAAACCTTATGACTTAGGACATCATTTTGGTCTTGGATTTGAGTTTTGGACGGAAGGGCTTAATGGAATATGCTCTAAAGGAGATTTTGGGACTAGGCTGCATACGTTGGGCGAACCTGGAGATACACTACGTGTACGTGGTCAACGCCCCGCTTTTGGTCAAAATCAGAGCACGTTGGTGTACTCTCTTGGTACGTAGGGTGTACTCCGCTGGTAAGGGGTATTGACTTTTTGGCCTTGACCGTTGACTTTGACTTTGACCATGGTTGACCAAGTTGGACATAAGGGGTACTTTGGGTATTTTGAGCTATAGTTAAGCCTTGGTCTCTATCTGTTGAATAAGTGACATGTACAGCCGATATTCAGAGTAGTGTATTATTCGACTATTCAACAGACTGTGAGGTGAGTTTCCTTATTGTTCTTGTGGGTTGAACGCACCAATGCCGACCCCTTTTGTTATGTATCCTAGTATATAGGATGTTATTATACAACAACAATCTGTTCTGTTAACTGGTTATATGATTATTTGTTGTTGGGTATATGTTATTTGTTTTTTACATGTCGACATGGTATGGTGGGTTTGAGATTGTACTACTTTGTGCTATAAGTCAACAGACCAAGATATTCCAATAGAAAGGTTATGGTCCAGATGGACCTGGGTTAATCCAACCATGAGCTTGTGGACCCGTTATGTATTGGGCATTCCAACCGAAAGGTTGTGGGCCGAGGCATTCTAACCGAGAGGTTGTGGGCCAAGGGTAATCCAACCAGGAGGTTGTGGACCAGTTATTTATTTGATTATATGTTTGCGTGATGGTACTTTGGGGGAACTCACTAAGTTTTATCTTATAGTTTTAGTTTATGGTTTCAGGTACTTCCGAGGATCATGAGAAGACGAATGTGTGATCGTACACAGCTTCCTGTTTTTATGGCATTAGGTCTTAGGAAAACTATGATTTTGAAATAATGTTTTTAGAAAACAATGATTCTTTTGTAAACCATGATGTTAAATGATGGATTTTGAAAAATTTAAATTCTTTGGTTCTTAGAGTGTTACAAAATCACTAGACTTACAACAAGAAATAAAGAAAGATCAAAATAAGAGCCACAAAATAAAATAAAAGAAGTCTAAACGACCAAATAACAGAGATCAATAAATCAAAACTTCACTTCCTCTATTCGGATATCGAAGGTGATACTTTCTTAACACTTACCCCCATTTCCCTACTTGTGTATCTTAGGAGATTCTTTCTCAACACCTACAACCCATTTTAATCTACATTAGAAAAAGAAAACGATAGAAATGGAGAAAAAATATCACTGCTATAAACGTAAATTACCTAATTATATCGACGAAGGGAAGGAGTTATTGAAGAAGGGTTCATGCCCAACAAATGCGTTAATAGGATCATGTCATATGTAGCATGTGTGAATTCAGAATCATTACAAACATCAAATAAAGAACTGAGAAGAATTAAAACTCAAAAGCATTACAAACATCGAATCAACACAATATTTCAAAACACAAAAGAAGTATGCCTTCCGAATTCGACGTTTGCCCCTGTATAAAATCATATATTCAAACTCAAGAGAGAGTTGAGGCTTTGACCACGAAATCATATTTGAAGAGTTGAAAGATACTTGAGCCATTAAGAGTGAAAAAGAATATCATGTTACAAAGAGACTTTAGGGTAGAGCTCTTGATTAGAATATTGTTATTTTAGGATTCCAAGATGGCATTGTGGCAATTTCAATTTACAAGACGAACAATCAATTCGGTTCCCAAGTAAATACACGCATTCTGATTTCTAGTCCCTCGAGATTTTTTCAACGCATCTTATTCTTACGGGTGTTGCTAATAAGACACCCCTTAGACACTCTGTTATCATTTTTATAAAAATACAACCTATAATCAACTACTTATAATCAACTTTTTCGGAAAACAATGTAACTTAAACCAATAAAAATATTTTAAAAATTAATTAGGGTGTTTATATGGGAAAATAGGGTGTCATTTTAGCCAACCCCTATTCTTACACTCAAATAGATTAGGCTCGTGGGCTAACTTTAGCTCTAATGCAATAAAGGCTTAATTTTATTTTATAATATAAAAGCTATAAATTTCATAAATATTTTCGGTCTTTAAAATTCATGGGTCCTGGACAGCTGTCAGGACCGGATCTGGAAATCGGCTAAAGCCAATCATAATAATATTTTTTGAACGCCCAAAATAATAGTTAGGTTAAATAATATACAAAAGTAAAGAAAATGAATAAACCAAATGATGTTTGTTATCTTTATAAATCATTATTCCTTAATAATATACAAACTGTTATTATAAAAATCAGAATTTAGAACAATCTTTTAGTATATATACATGTAAAAAAAGAAGAAGAAGAAGAAGTAAAATACATAGACAAGCACCATCGAGGGGTGGCTAAGTTCAAGCCCATACCTCCTCATAAGCTTCATTTTAGTAATTATATATAAATTCAAAATATTAAACAAAAGTGCACCAAAAATAACCATATTTGATGCAATCTTTATTTTTTGGTGTTCATGGTGCGTTTTGCAGCTTCGATATGATCTTTGACAGCATCGGCAGATGCCTCGGCTTTTCCAGCCACCGTATCCTGCACTTTCTGGGCGGCGTCCTTGGTGGCGCTCCAAGCTTCCTGTGCTGATTGCTTTGCTTTCTCGGTAATGTTCTCCGTCGCTCCGGCGGCAGCTTTCGATTGGTTCGCCACCTTGTAACAAAATCATGTTAATTTTTTAATAATAAAAATAGAAGCGCCGACTGATGCGATTTATATCCGTATATATATATATATATATATATATATATATATATATATATATATATATATATATATATATATATATATATATATAATGATTAATGATTTGAAAGGAGTAATTTAATATGTAAAAGTCTGAGTGAGAAAATGAATTGAAATGCTTACATAGCCTGCGTGAGTCGCTGCTTTCTCTTTAATTTGGTTCCCAGCGTTCTTCAGCTCGTCGATAGCACGCTTGGCTGTATCCGATGGCGAGGGTGACGACACAAATCGCACCTATTAATTGATTACAAGTTTTATACATTTCATCTGATTCATATATTTCCCAGATATAATAAAGGAAATTAATCCAAGCAAAATGTTAATTGAGTTGTAAAATATATTGAGAATAAAGATAAAGATTGATTAAAGGGACCTGGGCGGAGCCAAAAACCCTCGAACCCAATGCGGTGCGAACCATAACGCGGGTGGTCTGGACCATTGTTGCTGTGACTCCAGCCATTTTTCACCTTATTATATTTTTCAGTTAATGGATTTTTAAATTTTTCCAAATTGAGCTCTATATTTAAATTTACTTTTTTTCTTTTTGCATATATGGAAAGAAACTCAAGAGATGAAAAACCAAACTGTCGCTCCTTTTGTGGTTAAAATTAAAATACAATAACGAAAAAAGAGTAAAACCGTCAATTGTTAGACTTGTTCTTCGTTTCTAAGAGAATCGAGGATAAACAACCAAAATTTATTGTATGGTACATAATTAGACTTTTTTTTTTTTTATTAATATTAAAATAAGTTATTTTATTCTCAATTTTCCACAGTATATAATTCACAATTTTAAAATTGTCTTTTTAACCAACCCCTTATCATATAAACTTGTTACATAGTTAACTAACAGGTATTATAATGTGGGGTTAGAAAATAATTATCTGACTTGAACTTTTAATAATGTAATCGAATGCTTACACTTTTTCATTATTTATAAAAGTTGATCTACTGTTTGGTAGTTTTTTAAATTTTCAATTAAAAGATTTTTAATTTTTCAGATTCAGAGACATTTGGTAATTTTTTAATTTTTGTCTCTTAATTGTTCAACACTTTTTTAATTTTAAAGCGACTTGTATCTAAATAAAAAAAAAAGTATCATGTCCTGAAAATACCCTAATTCTTTCAGCGAACCTGTTTCCCTCTTCTCTTTCTATTTCACACGGCTGCCTCCCTTTTTCCTTCCCCTGCTATCTCCTTCCTCTTAAAAATCCAGACATTTAAAAAAAAAATTAGATTATAAAAGTTCAATCATGTCAAACAACCCTAAATTATATTGACGGTGGTAATCAAATGATATAATATTTTACTCATATCATTGTTTTCTTTATATGTTCATTAAACTGTATTTTACCATTTGAAGGAAACTATCTTACAAAGATTATGGTTCAAAAACAAATTTTAAAATTTGTGTTATCTTATTCTGTAGATGACATAGTGTAGGGGTGAGCATGGTGCGGTTTGGTGCGGTTTTCAGACCAAACCGAACCGCAAACCGCATGGTGCGGTTTTTGCATTCTTAAAACCGTTGGGTGCGGTTTTGCAATGGTTCGGTTTTTCGGTTTTTAAATGCGGTTTCGGTTTGTATCGGTGCGGTTTCGGTTTTTAAACCGTGTTAAGAATTTGGTGCAGTTTTTTTTATGTTTTTTTGTGCGGTTTTTTAAAACTGTAAGAACTGAAAATCATGTGCATATAAGCTTGTATTGTGCTGTTTTTTTTAATACATTCATTTTCAACTCAAAACAAAATTACATAATCAAAAATTATAAGTCGCTTAAAATACAACTTGTGATCACTCTCACAAACTAATTAATGATTGAAGGTTGGTTGATTTTGACTTAATTTGTTACAAGCTTATTACATGTAATCGATTAGTATGTTTGGCTAACAATAGAACATTTCTTTTGCACCTCATATAGTTTTATACAAACACAAAATAAACATATAATAAATATATTATCGTTTATAACTATTTTAAATAGAATGTATATAATATACATTGATTGATTTATTACAATACACGCTTGCGGTGCGGTTCAGTTTTGATGGACCGGTTTTTAGGATAGAAACCGCACCGCACCGTTGACCTTCGGTTTTTGCAAAAATTAAATCCGCACCATTGGTTTTTGCATCGGTTTCGGTTTTTCGGTTGTGGTTTATTGCGGTTTTATCGATTTTTCTTTAGTCGGTTCGGTTTTTGCTCACTCCTAAGATAGTGGCATTCCTTTGGGCTTTGGTCCAAGCCAAATTCCGGTTACAAGTTTTAATGAAGACCAAGCCTAATAACTACTACTGTACTACATGATCTTAACTTTGGGCTTGGATCCAACAATCCTTCAGGAATTATTTTATTCGAGATTATTCTTTCGTTTGATTAATCCCAAAATGTTTGAAATTGTTCATCTATAATATTATTTGAAAATTTCGACCGATAGATAAAAGTTATTAAACTTAATACCAGTTAATGTATTAGCCCAAATAAATCAAAGCATGGCTATATAAGATTTATAAGTCTAAGTTCATTTAAAAAATAGGTTTAAGCAAACAAATTAATTACGTAAAAGAAAATACAGTTTAAATCAATTTATAGAACGAGGATCCAACTGGAACATATTTAACAACAAACCATATGGTATTTAGAATTTTACTTCAATTGCAATAGGGATTCTTTAATATATAACCAGAAAAGTTACCCCCGCTATACGGGGGCCAGAAAGTTTCAATATTGTTTCTGAATCGATAAATATGACAGACGTAGAAAGTGCAAGGATGAAAAGCCCGGAGTTTGTCCCGGACCGTTTTTTTTTTCATGGTTTTATGAAAAAAATGTAAAAGTTTTTTGACTGCCAGGATCAGAAGTTTCAAAACGGTTAAAGAGTTAAAGGGGTAAGAATTAGCAAATTTTTAGAAAATAGATCAAAGTTGTTAAACCATTAAAGTTTTGTGGCCAAACTTTAAATATTAAAAGATTCTAAAAAGTGTAAAAATATTGATTGCAATGACCAAAAATGTTAAAATAGGTAAAGAATAAGGAGCAAAGTGCAGAGATTATTTCTACCAAAAAAAAAAAATACCACATTTACTATTCCTAAACTTCATATCTTTAGTATATCTTTACTAACTTATAAAAGAAATCCTACTATTTCTATAAATAGATCCAATAAAATAATATGATTTTTTTTAAGACGTTCAACTCTCTAAACGTAAAGTACAACTAATCATGAATAAAATAATATTAAATTTTAATCTGATTACCTTTCAAATCTTATCTATTTCAAAATTTTGACCAAATCTCTTATCCAATTAAAATAAAACAAATAATCCATTATATATGCCCTTTTATTTGTAATTTTTTTAAGTTTTATTTATTATTTATGCCCTCTAATCGAAATTGACCAATCAGTTGTAAAATCAAATATTTTGTTTAATATTAAGAAAAAATATCTATGTATGATTTATGACTAATAGAAAATTAGTATTCCATTTGTTATTCATGTTCCATGAAATATGGTTGTATTAATTTTATTATTTTTCGGTTTAAAATTTTAGATAGTAAAGTGGATAATAGGATATATCCGTTTAGACTTATCTGTATAAAGCAAACCGGGTTGTTAAGATTAACTTTGATTCTCCCTTTTATTAACTTTATCAATACCAATAAAGGTATAAGCAAGTCACTTCGTATAGATGTGTCCTGATTTCTAAAATGAAGGACTATAAACGTACACTACACACCAAAATATTTATTTTCTTTTGTATTGAGAGGGTTACATTTATTTGTTGCCGTAAAACCAATCGATAACAATATGCATATGTTTTGTGTTACTTGAAATCTAACATGTTTCCGTATAGAACTTATTGCCGAATGAGAAACTATTTTTCGCCGCTGCTTTGCGCGGGTCTACGGCTAGTATATATATATATATATATATATATATATATATATATATATATATATATATATATATATATATATATATATATATATATGGGATAATTTCATATATGTCCCTCTTAATCTTCAAAATATCATATTTGCCCAAATCCTTTTTATAATGTTTTTTAATATTTTATAATCATTTTTATACCTTAGAATTATTATAATATTTAAGAAATTTAACCATATTATACTTATGTCTATGATAATGGAATGTGAACTTCTAAATTGTTAGAATGGCGGCCTCTTGACTGACAAAAAGATTCATCTTAAACCCTTTTAATGAAATATATATTTTAATTTTTTAGTTTTTGTTGTTGTTGATTATTATCATTTTGTAGTTGGAGGATACTTTAGATATTATCATTGATATTTTAATGTTTAAAAAGTGCATATACGATATTTTGATATTTAAGAAGGGCATATATGATATTTTGATGTTTAAAAATGATATATATGATACTTTGAAATTTTATGAATGGTAAATATGATATTTAGAAAGTTTATGAAAAATAAATATGATATTTAGAAATTAAGTTGGGTAATATGATATTTTGATGATTAAGAAGGACATATATGAAATTCTCTCTCTCTCTCTCTCTCTCTCTCTATATATATATATATATATATATATATATATATATATATATATATATATATATATATATATATATATATATATATATATATATATATTAAGATCTTTATCTATCCATATCCATATAAAACAGACAGTACAAGCATGATACCACCTATGTTTTCTTGAGCATGAGAAAGTCAAACACACTGATTTTTTTCGTTGAAATTTCTTGAGTTGTTTACAAAAATATTTTTTGAAAACTAACTTTTTAATTTTTTTTTTCACACAGACCTCTAATAATGTATTGGACAAAAGCAATATATTAAGCAAACAATATTAATCATCTAATAACACATCCGTAAGCAGAGATGTTAAGCGTCTAATAACACATCATTACCTCTAACTCATAATGTTAAAATGATTTGTCGTCTAAGTCTTCGTCTGTTCTGATATCCTTAAACACGAGACACTGGATTGAATCATTCACATATAAATTCAATTTAGTTTTTTCAAGTTGTGACCTCGAACAAGATTGTCATACTATTGATCATCAAATTATTTTCATCTATGTGTGGCTAAATACTTATATTTATTGTACTTATTGATCACCCCAATGATATAAAACTCCAACAAGTAGAGAAGCATATTTCATCTTGACATACGTGTTTATCATCCATCGACATATCATATCTTGTAGTATCTGTTAATTCCCTTATTGAAAAAAATTCTATAACTATTTCAAGAAATATTAAAGATGCACTTACTTAAATGTCAACATATATCTCAGGTCAACAAATATATAGATAATATCATTTTCAAGATTTGTTATTCATAAAATAATCACATGAGGTTGAGTCAATCCAATATTCATCATCAATAAATACATCCAATATTCATCATCAATAAATACATGTTGGTGATTTTGTATCATCATTATGTATTTAAAGGTAATGGATTGACTTGTTAACCAAAATTCAATATTGATAAATATTAAATAAGTAAGGAATGTACGGAGTACAAACTTGTTTAAGTTTATTCAAGATTCAAAGTAGACTCTCATTTAGGGGCGAATCCCCTAAATGAA